TGTGATTTCTGCCACCTCAGCCATTCTAAGAAGTCTTTCAACTAAATAGTCAAAATATCAGGGTTTGAGTACAGGGAGTTGTCATTTACTCTAAAATTAGTGCCAAATGTCAGTCATGTCAATAATGTACAGAGATGAATGACTTAATTTTATTTATCTTACCTGTAGCATTTTGGTGTGAATACCTTGTCCCAGTTCATTGCCTCCATGTGTGACCAATACAGATCCATCAGTGTAGATATGAACGAGTGCAGCTGCCTAGTAAAACAACCAGGAAGGGAAAGCTCAGTGTAACTTTAGTGAGGTTCAGTATAAAAAAATGAGGTAGGAAAACACCAGTCTCATAGAACGTGAAGGGTCAGAGAGACAAGCTTTCCTGGTAGGATTCTAAGGCTTACTTCTGCTTTGTGCAAAATTTACCTGCAAAGAACATTCCTACGTAGGAACCTGATTTTAGTAAGAGTCCCTTGGGATACTCAGGAGTTGTGGGTATCAGTTCTAACTATTTGAAAGTCAGTCCCTTGCTTAAAATTTCTGACAAATCCCTCAACTAGAAAATTAAACATTTTTAAGTACTTGCACATATTATGTGCCAACCTGGGCTCAGCTCTAGATATATAAAAAATAAGCAAGATGTGCTTCTTCCTGAAGTAGTTCACAGTACAGTCGGGAGCCAGGCTGGAAAGCTACTCATTAGAATACAGAATGATTCATAAGATAAATGGGTATGGCATTAGGGGTCTTGGAGACCTGGGAGGACAGATCCAACTGTTTCTGTGGAGCTTAGGGAAGGGTTTCCCAAACAGACAACTGAATGGAATCATGAAGGGAAAAAGGGTTTCCTCTGGGCAAGGTGGGTAAAAACTCCCCACTGTCTGTGAGGGAGAGCCCTGCTCCTTACTATAATATGAGGCCCTTCTGGATTTGGTCTCTTGTAGTTTTCCAGTTTCACCTGTGTCTTTTTCTGCCTTGCTTCTAAGTCTGGCCTTCCCACTGTTCCTTCCTCACCTGTGCTCTTGCTTATACTGTTCTCTCCTCATCTTCTCTCCAGCCTTCAGACCCACACACCATAGTCTATTCTGTTCAAACTTCCCGAACACTTCTTTTTCCCCTCTGGGGAGGATCATTGACCTCCTTCTCTGCACTTACTGTGACAGGGGTGTACTGGGTTGAATAGTGTCCCTCCACCAAATTCCTGTCCACCTGGAACCTCATAATGTAACCTTATTTGGAAATAGTCTTTGCAGATGTATTTAGTTAGGATGAGGTCATACTGGATTAGGGTGGGCCCTAAAATTCAATGAGCATTTGTCCTTATGAGGCCATGGGGAGAAAGCCATGTGAAGATGGAGGTAGAGATTGTAGTATGTTGCCACAAGGCAGCGAACACCAGAAGCCACCAGGAGCTGGAAAATGGCAAGGAAAAATTATTTCCTGGGGACTTCTGAAGTTGCATGGCCCTGCTGACATCTTGATTTTGAACTTCTAGCCTCCAGAACTGTGAAAGAAGAAATTTATTGTACCACTCAGTTGGTGGCGCTTTGTTACGGCAGCCACAGGCAGCCACAGGAAACAAATATAGGGGTGACAAGCTTTTTCATTAAAATCTCTTGGAGGAAAGGCACCCAATCTCGTTCATCTTTGTGTCCTGAGGAGAAC